TGGTGCACTTGGCGCCAAGTTCTTGGAGATTCCATGAGCGTGTTCGATGATGCATCCTTGTCGGCGACATTGAAGGTCCGCGGTTTGCGGGGGCCGAAATGTTCAAGCAGAGATTCGGAGCCGAATTATTCGGAAGCTAAGAGAAAAACGAGGCAGAAGTAGGAAAATAAGAGCGAGTTGCTGTGAATACCTACGCAATAGGCGGGCACAGCATCCTCAAGAAATTGTGGCACAGGGGTGACAACCTGAAAAATGCTACTCCAATCCACGATGGTGTTTGCGCAAGCTTCCGAGCGAGTGGTCCACAGTGTGCCTGGATTTAGAAGTGGGTCCAAATTCGGATTCCGCGTGTCCCGCGGGGTCAAATATTCAAAACCCCGCAACTTTCCTTCCTCTCTGTCATTGTCAAGGACTCTCAAGGAAGCTCAAACCGAAGGCACCATTACCAATCAGGCTGACCGGTGAAATTTTGAATTAATTATGGCGGATCCAATGGAGACTTCGGTGGCGTCTCCCGACGTCGACGACGGGGAAGATCATCATGCAACCTCTCTACCCTTCGTTCCAAGAGCTGCAAGTCCACCCTTTTCCTTTTTGAAATACGTACCTATCTAACAGCTGATACCATTTTTAAATAGTGTAATGCATGTCGTGCACGCAAGGTATGTTATTCAATTGACAAATTGTTGCAGAATTGATAGAGATTGATGGTTGTGGTTTGCCTCTTAGATTGGCTGCAACAGAGAATCTCCTTGCGCCCACTGTGTTCGTGCCAAGATTGAATGCACCTATGACAACAGCAAACGGCCAAGAGAGAAACGTGCCCGAATTCTCCTTACCCAACAATAGTAAGTGCTTGTGTGCGTCTTCGGCCTTCGGTGATAATGTCTGTCCGATCTGACGCACTCCGCATAAGTGAACAAAAGATCGATCACCTCGACAGCAGGCTGGATGAGATTGTGGCCCTTCTCAGGGATCTTAAGGCAAACGGCCGTGGGGCAACACCTGCTCTTCCTCCAATTATCCAAATCCAACGTCCAATCGAGAGTTCAAACCCAGCTCCAACACCGAGCAAAGTTGCCCAATCGGGCCAATCCTCTGCACCAACCCCTGCCTCTTGTCATGTGGGTGCACATGCATCATCCTCATCATCATCCGGCGATGCAGCTCGAGAGGCCAAGAGTCCCATGGTGGAAGGCGATTCATCCTTGACGGCGCAATCGGTATTTGCCAATGACTTTCTTCAAAAGGTTCTCAACAAGGAATCTCGACCCGAGATGCGTGAGGGATTGGATGCCCTCCACGTCATCGTCGAGGCCATGAAGCGTCAACCAGCCGCTCACGAGATGACTTATCCACATGCACCTCCAGTTAAGGAATCCACCTTGGAGGGCTGCCAACTGCCTCCCATCCAAAAGACGGTCGAGGTCCTCAAGCTTGCACAGTCCAGAGAGATGCTGGGTTTGGCCTGGATCTATGAGTTTCTTCCCATTCGAGTCTTCCAGGATACCTGTTTCCAACTCTACATGTCGGACGAGTACAACCTCATTATTGTCGTTATCGTCAATGTTGGCCTGCATTTTCTGTTCTGGGCTGCCGCACAGATAGCGCCCCAAAACGCCAAAGAGTATGTCGAGTATGCTTCGAATTGCGGTACAAACGTCGAAGCGGCCTTGGCAAAGCTGCCTCTGCATTTACCGGCCAGTGATGATACTATTACCGCGCTGATGCTTGGGGCTTTCTACGCCGTCGAGCTGTCAAAACCTTCACTAGCTTGGATCCTCTGCTCCAAGGCGTCCGAGCTGGTTCAAACACTGGGTTACCACCGAGCCACTACATACCACAACATGCCCCCTGATGACCGCCGCTATAAACAATATCTCTTCTGGGGCATGTATATCGTTGACAAGAGTCTCTCACTTCGTCTAGGTCGGTCCTCGACCATCCAGGAATATGACATCACCCTGCAATATCCAAAACCCGATGAGGCCAACGCAAACGAGCTCACTTCATGTTTTGTCCTCTGGTGCATGGCTGCGAAGGTTCAGGGCCAGATCTACGAGTTGCTGTACTGTCCGGAAGCAATGAATCAGCCCGAGGAGGTAAGAAGGTCCAGAATGCATATTTTGGCTCAGAGGCTGGACGAGGTTGAGACCAAAACGCAGGAGCTGTTGACGGTATGTTCAAGTTGCATCAGGACAACTGCCAAGTCAAGTTGGGACTCTAACTCCTCAATAGGGCGACTGGCAGGCATATGCTTCGAATAATATCGGTGAACACCTCATGGAATTCTTTCAGGTATCAGATCACGTCCTTCGCCTGTCAATATTGACCCTGACGTACCGCGCGGTTCCCAACCCTGTTGGATCTCCAACCACCTTCTCGACGGACTGCATTCAGGCTGCCCGGCAAACCTTGGCTCGGCATGAGGAGTGCATGGCCATTGTTAATAAGAGTAACTGTGGTTTGTTCTCAACTTACATGCATTGGTTAGGCAGTCCTAATCTATATCCGCACGGAAACATTACTAATTATTGTGTGAACAGGACCATCCTCATGGCGCCCTTTGTCCCCTTTATTGTCATCTTTTGTCAAGTAATCGAGACCAGAGACAAGGAAGACCTTGCTCGCCTTCAGGCTTTCGTGGCCTCGCTTCAGATCGAGGCCTCGGTCACTGAAGCGGTTGAAAAACTTCGTCGTCTCTTCCAAGTTTTGTACACGGTAGCCTCTCGCTATGTCGACTCCCACAAGAGCGGCGGTGGCAATGCAGTCGACCGAGGATCTCAGATTCAGGGTGGTCACCAAGAGGTGGATGCTTACCTCGCTACCCTCGGGTTTCCGCAGCTCGGTGGGAACCAAGCAGTGGTATATGACCAACAGCAACTAGGCGCCCCAATCCACGGAGGGATTGACACCACAAATAACAGGATTATTGGCGAAGCCCCCGCATCGGCCGAGGAACTACAGCGAGGTGTTAATCCCATGATGTGGATGGGAAACGGGGCACAGCTCGAGGATTGGTTCTACAACAATCAACAAATGATGGCTCTCTTGGAAGATGGGTTTCTCGATCCCGGTCTGCCGCCAATGTAAAAAAAAAAAAAAAAAAATGAAAACCTGATCGCAAGCAAACATCGCTTCCCTCAACAAGGCTTCTATGAAGGGTCCACAGGACCTGTCTTCTACTGGTGGATTTTAATTTGTTTCTATCCTATAGTGGCCAAGAGGGTCCGTGTCTTGACACCACTCTACTCTTCATCAGCCTTCCTCCATCGGCAGTGTCGACTAAACCCTTTTGACGTTACGGCAGTTGAAGCCCCTTTCAATCGGCAGTCCAAAAATGGTAACCGAGGTTCAGATGCCGGACGTGATTGTCTTCCTAAGCGGTTTCGATCTCGGTTCCGGAAGACAAACTTGGCAACGCTTCCCGTGACACAGATATTTTTCCTGTTGAGAACCAGGGAACTTTTCAACGGAAATCCCTATTGGGGCTCTTAAACGACGGGAATGCACCCCGCATTCTCGGTAGTTACAGAGTGGTAATGCCAAAAGCGGTTGAGCGAGTCCGGGGCTAATATATCTGATATTGATCGCCAAGAAAAGGACTTGGCTCCTTCCCATCAACCCCCGGTAGCCTAACTCGACTCTCAATAGTGGGAAAGGGGAGACAGAAAAATGCTGGTTGATCAACTAGGCCTAGAAAGGGTTCTCACACGCAAAACTGAACTATATAACATGTCTTCCAAGTCTCTCCCCTCCCGACTTTCTCTCCTCTCCTCACCATCGTCCTCCTCAGGCCTCTGCCCATCATGATGTTCAAATCCCTCCTCCTCGCCGGACTGGCCGCCAGCACGGCTCAAGCCCACTACATCTTCAACATCCTCATGGTGAACGGACAAAGGATCGGTGGCGAATACACCTACGTCCGCAGGAACTCCAACTCTTACATGCCTACCTTCCCCGACATCCTCAACTCGCCCGACTTTCGATGCAACGTCGGTGCTAGACCCGGTGGTGGAGTCCAAACCTACACTGTCAACGCCGGTGACAGGATTGGCTTCAAGGTTTTCAACAATGAACTGATTGAACATCCTGGGTATGTCACTCATCCCACCTTTACCCTTATCGCCCACTAACATTCTGTTTCTCCAGCCCCGGTTTCGTCTACATGTCCAGAGCCCCCAACGGCGTAGCCAACTACGACGGCTCCGGAGACTGGTTCAAGGTCTACGAGACGGGTCTCTGCAGAGGCCAAGCCAACGTAGACGGCAACTGGTGCTCCTACAACAAGGACCGTCTCGAGTTCACCATCCCCCCCAAGACCCCGCCCGGAGAGTACTTGGTCAGAGTCGAGCATATCGGTCTGCACGAGGGACACGTCAACAGGGCTCAGTTTTACATGACTTGCGCTCAGCTCAAGATCAACGGCCCAGGCGGTGGCAACCCGCAGCCGTTGGTCAAGATTCCGGGCATTTACAAGTCTAATGACCCCGGTATCGCTTATAACAAGTGGACCAACAACCCGGCCCAGTACAGAATGCCTGGACCTGCTGTTTGGAACGGTAACTAAGAGAGACTTTTGGGGAGTTTGGTTGTTTTGAAGGAAAGGGGAGATGCCTTTGTGGTTCGGTGTTATGGAACAGTCATTGGAGATAGAGCCATTCATAGATCTCGGTATTCTGTCCAGGGTAAATGAAAGAACAACCACACCTAGCCTTCCGTACATGGTGATATGTTTTGTGTTAAACCAGCGGTGAAACACTACCTCTATAATACTCTGAGTACCTATGATATACTGTTCGAAGTCTCGTCTAGCTCGATGAACCTATGACCATTATTTCCCGAGGTAAAAACCACGAAAGAGTAAAAATAAAAGGCGCAATTTCCAATCTTATTTCCCTCCTAATTCCCGAGATTAAGCGGAATACCGTCGAACCGTATGATGATTAGTCTAAAGGAATAAAAAGATATAAGAGAAAAAAAGAAGAAAAAAAAACTAATGCGGTTTGAATAGATCGAATATACGACCTTTAGATAATATGATTTTGAAGTTTTGATTTCAGTCTGACGCTCTCCTAGCTGAGTTAAACCCGCTTATATATCCTCCTTTGCCTTATGTGTTGGTAGTCACCCGATAATCTCAGTATTAGATGATGTCTGGACCTGCGGTTTAGAATGGAAATTAAGGAGGATTTTTGAGCAGTGGGTATTGGAAGACGCGCAACCGGAAGAGTTGTGTTTTGGTGTTTAGGAGGGGTTTATTGGAGGCTAAGATAGTGATAGATCTCGGTATCCTGTCTAATGTAATCGAATAAAATTAGAATACGTCTATTCCTCCAAACATCATGATTGTGTTAATGTTACGTCCCAAGCATAATACTTCCGTGCAGGGCACTGGCTGGTTCCCGAGGTGCCGAGACACCTCATCCAATCATTGGGCCAGGGATGAGAAGACCCGCAAGTCACCGTACGACCAATCAGGAAGTGCTCAGTCTGATCAGTGGCCAAGACCACTGAGCACACTGAGCACATGGGATCACAAGAGTTGCTCAGTCTGCTCAGCCGCCAAGACCACTGAGCATACTGAGCAAGGTACAAAGATACTTCAGAAATGTATGGTGGATAACTTCCTATAAGTAGGGGGAGTGCGCAGCACTCCCCATCCCGAGGAATCTGATTCCTCACGCAAGCAATTTAAGTTCATTTGTCTACAATCTACTTCCGAGTAGCTCTTTGTTAGAACAACCTGTTGTTGACAGTGAACCTGTTGTCTGAGACGCGTGCCACAACCTTCGATTATCCTGTCAAGCTACCCTTTGGCGTACTGCCTTGCAGTCTGTACCCGAACTCGGTGCAGGTTGTAACAGTTAAGCGAAGCCAGTGATTTGACCAGGAACTCTTAACATTTGGAATCATTTCTCTATATCTTAAAGCCAGGCTTTAATATTGAGATGAAGAAAAACAAGGGGAAAAATAGCTGTCAAAGTTTTGTCTATGGGCTGTTGGGATTTTGGATAGAACCTGTCTGTTGAAAGAGTCTCTAAAGCTCGGGGGGGCGGGGAAGCTAAAAGCTCGGAACAAGTACATTAAAAGCTGAGATAAAAAAAGTCAAAAGCTTAGATAAAGAAATAAAAGGCTGGGATAGAAAATTGAAAAGCTGGGATCGCCCATGCCGCAGTTAAATCGGTTTGGTTTGTCCCATGTGACGAATCCGACGTTCAGTACCTCTGAAAGGGGTCCTAGTTGAAGGTGAACTGTTGAACAATGATTCGGTGTAGCCAAAAGGTACACAACAATAACTGTCTCTTGGAACAAGTAATGAGAAGGTAACTTATGCTGGTTGAACTATCTGTTGCATACTGAGGAATCTATCTAAGCTGGCTGATTCCTCCGTATATATAGACCTGGCAGTCATTTGGGGTAACGCACTAAATCGTGATCCAACGACAGTCCCACTTGGGATACCGCGCTCCATCTCTGATTGGTCTTCCTTAATGAGGGGTCAGAGATGCTGGGCATCTCTCAAGTCTGTCCTTGGCAGATTCGTGACATCCCATCCATGTCTGCAAAGAGACCAGATGCCATATTGATCCTTGTAGGACTTTGTGAGCTGGACAGCAAATATAAAGTCTTTATCTTGGTTAAAGGTCTCCGCTTCACTGGCCCTGTTTTCGTAAGACGTTAGTAAGACTTGGGTGCGTGTACATGTAGTTAAAAAAGAGCCAACTCAACCTTTCCCAATCGAAAATCCTGCCACGAACAATTATCACTCCCGTAACCATGAATATCTCATTGACCGTTTTTTCGTCCAGTCCATGATGCTTGACATACTGTGTAAAATACTGGCTCCTGATAAGCCCCCGGAGGTAGCCGAGGTCTGGGCTCACATGGTGAGTCTCAACCCAGGTATACTTGGACTGCGTTGTGTCCGGCCACAGTTTGGGGATGATAGTCTCCAATGGAAGCATCACAGGATAGTTGGGGACCAATTTTTTTCAGAGCCTCGGAAGCTTAGCTCAACCTTCTGCGCCCTGTCAGTATTCTCTTTATCACCCATTCCGCCTTTTCTGGCTCTTGAAACTCCAATATGTCGTCTGGATACGTATTGCCGATCATTGAGGAGGGAAACGGCAGAATCTTTTCGGTGATGAGATTTTCAACGACGTCTTGCATGGCGGCAGTTGGGAAAAGATGTCCAATCGTCAAAGGGACGTGATTTTGCAACTTGCCAACAACCGTGCCTTCGATATCGCGTGGGGGTGGGTGTCGGACTGTAAGTGGGAGCCACACTGCTCTGTCGCTGTATTCCATGTAGAGATTGTACCTAGTTGTATCTTGAGCAATATTTTTCTCGGAAATAGAGAAATTTGGTAGATGAAGAAAGAGGGAGAGAGTGGAAGTGAGAGAATTTGTGTGAAAAAGGAAAGAATGAGTCATGTGAAATCTTTTTCTGCCACGCCAGCACAGTTATACAGCTTCAGTCATTATGACGAACAGCCTCTTTAAACATCTTCCAACCTCACACTTTCACCTCTACTCAAAGCATCGGCCCACCTGCCCACCCGTTTAACCCAAATTCCATCACATTGCTGAACCGCCTCCAAAAACTCAACCTTGACACGACTCTCTTCACAACACCAACCTGACCACAGCTCCTTCAATCTGTCATCATACACTTTCCTGAGCTGCGTTGCCTCCCACTCCATCCTATGAACATAATACAATTCATTCTTCTTATCTCCACCATCCTCACAAGGTTCATCCGCATAATCATCCCGCTGAGGCTCCTCCTCCCTCATTCCCTCCTCCAAAAACTTGGGAACCTTGGTAGCCATCCAAATCGGCACCGCCGAAACACATTCCCAATCCAAAACAGCAGTGATTTCCCCCTTTTCATCCACAAGAATATTATTTAAATGCAAATCATGGTGATACGATGCCGTAACCTTAGACTCCTCCTCCTCCTCCATCCCGTCAAAAATCCTGTCGACCAGCCCTAGCAACTTTTTCGCCACACCAAGAATCTCCTCTGCATCTTCTCTTTCATCTTCATCCTCCGTCTTCCGCAAAACACCCATCTGCTGCAAGATAATAACCCTCAACTCAGCACTCAACCAATCCCTACTGCACCAAAACGGACCCCTTTCAACATCATAACCAATACAATCACCCATAAAGAACCGAGGAGAAACAAACAATCCCAACCGCTTTTCCTCCTCATTCATCAAACTTCCTATCCCCCTGAATTTTGTCTTCAATAACTCCGCCTGAAACCCAGCAACCTGTTTCGTCAACCCAATTTTTTCTTCCATCTCCATAGTCCACCACCGTTCATGTGCCGGTTTTCCCTCCATAAACTCCATCAAAATATACTCAAAACCAATTTCATTACTGTTGCTGTCGTCAAAGGCATAAACCTCTGGAACCGGAATCGATGTGTTTTCTCTGAGCCAGCGCAATGTTGCAACCTCGGAACGTGTCTTGTGTTGTGGATAAACAGGTAAAGAAACTCGCATGATGTGACGCCCGGGGTTTTTATCAGATTTAATGATGTATAGTTTGTTGAAAAGACCCGAGGCATGAAAGGTGATGGTGCAGGGTGAGTCAGAGGGAATTTTTAAGAGACGACGACAAATGTTTTCGATTGCTGTGAGGTAAGGGTATTGAGCCCAGCGGGGGATGAGGTCAAATAGGGTTTGTTCCCATTCTAATCCGCCTTGAGTTAGTTGTGCCATGGTTGGTGTGGTGTATGATTCGAGGTGGTTGAGGGATGATGGTGGTTTGTGTACTACGTACATGTATAGATACAGGTATGCGGTTCCTGCGCCGCGGTGGTGGATGCCCAATCACTCACTGTGCCAGTGTACCTTACAATCGAAGCCGGACTCTCTTGGCATTTTACACCTTAGACTTTAAAGGAGTCGATTTCCACCGGGCAACAAAAGTAATCTTCAATACAAAGATGAATACTTTATGTATTATTATCAAAACCACAAAATTCAAATCTCTGAATCCAGTGGATTCTTTTGGTGTTATTTTTGTCTCTATTGAATGGGCTTTGGTGGAAAACCTGGTGTTGAAGGGACGAGTGTGTGGTGTGAAATGCCAAGGGAATCCGGTTTCGATTGTAATGCACGGCAGTTGGTTGCTGTGGTTGAAGGAATTCAAATGTAACCATGGTATCCTTCCTTGGCATGGGAATATAAGCCACCTCTATGACAGATTCTTTTACTTAGCCTTATCATTATATTTTTTATCCAAGTCTCCTCGTTGCCTATTGAAAGAAAATGTTACATAACATCAATTCCATTCTTTGTTCTAACTCGCATGGTTGCATCGAAGAAAATCCATCTAGCCACATCAAATGTCATCATTGGCCCGACCAAAAGGCAAATGCAACATCAATTTATTCCATTGTGTCCCCGATCCGGCAGGTGTGAGACATTGTTCAACAGGAAAGATCAATTATCAATTATGAGGAAGCAAACTGTTATCTTGGTGCTGCCTCCTTCTTTGTGAAACATTCCCCAGAGACTCCACCTTCCTGATGGCCTCTTTCCCTTACCAGCCTGAGGCCGGGTACTTTAGCAGCAAGAAAATGAGATGAACTTTCCAAAAGCTTCAAGTTTGGGTTCCACCCGAGGAACCTGAGAAGTACCTGCTTTTTGGCTTGATTTTGGTTCGGATTTCATCAATCGTCCGACCTGTCAAAGTGCTTGGGGAAGCTTAAATTGAAGTCTTTTTCCCGTCGCCAAGCTGATCAGCGTTGAGCTTGTCTTCACTCCCGCTTTCCCTTCCAAACCAATGCCTCCTCCAAACACCGAGGCCACTGTCCTCTCTGGGGTCAACCCCATTGAGGGCAAAGTGGTCGAGGTTCCCAGTCACGATGCCATCGAGGAAAAATTACCCGCCTCTCCCTACGTTATCGATGCTGCCGATGATAGTGACACCGATGGAGCCATCATCATCACGGGTGCCGACGCGGCCAATTATCTCTTACCCCTGCGCAACGATGGCGAGTCTGCCTTGAGCTTTCGAAGTCTATTCTTGGCCAGTTGTCTTGCATGCTTCTCGACCGTCATGAGCCAGATCTA